TTTTTTGCAAGCAAGGAGGACGTGTGTGTGTGTATGTATGTATGTGTGTGTGTGTGTGGGGGGGGGGCAGGTGGAGGTGTAGGTAAGCTGCACACACACACTTTCAGCAAACATCGCACACAGGTTTAGTGCTCGGCTCACTCAAAAATACTCTCTGGCAGCGTCCCTCTAAAGGAACACTCGGACATTTCGGTTCGTTGTTTTAACTGCAGACGATCGACCGACGTATGGAAGCTCACTGCGGACTTACAGAATCTTGTTTTCCCCGTCACACTGGCAGCAAAGAGCTTCCATACATCGGTGACTGATTCAAAGCTTCAGAACAGGAAGCAGGAGGGAAATACTTTGATAAATTTGGCCGACATACATGTTCAGGGTTCCCACTTTAACAAATCATTTTCCAGAAGCCGTCTTTTAATTTACTGGTTTCTATTATCGACGCGTTTAACCTCAGAGGGTCACGATGAAGTGACCGGCGTTTAAGGGACGCTGACATTCGCTCGCTTTCTGACAAACATTCTGCAGCGTTTGCGGTTCAGTTCAACCCAGATTCACGTAGACGATCTGAGCGAGCGGCTAAAACACAATGAAACGTTTCCAGGACAACATCAATTATTTCCAGAATATTTCAGTAAGTTTAACTCAATTTCCAGGTGTTTTCAGGACTGGAAACTATAAGTATCCAGGTTTTCCAGGGAAAGATTTAATGTTTCGCTCATATTTACCAGAAATGATAGATTACATTTAATTAAAACTGCAGATTATTGATCGCTGTCTCTAAAATGGGCGACCCCGCGATGTTTCCTCAAAGTAAAAACTTGCAGTGAGGCGATAACGTCTCTTTCTTCCTGCACAGACGCAGCGTGTCGACAGTTTTCCTCCTGCTGAAGCTCCATGAACTGTTCTGAACACCCGGAGATCAATCGTATAATCAATCAATCAATAATCTCCTGATCAAAATGTCCGACTGTTCCTTCCAGAAGACTTAAAGGGCAGTGGTGGAGTCGTCTCGGTCAGCTCAACAAAGAAATGGCAGTGTTTGTTTAATTGTCATTTACAGAATTTTATCACTACAAATAAAAAGAAATTTCAAGAAATCTTCCCTTGGTCGCCGTCGCCCCCCCGCCGCTGCCGCCGCCGCCGCCCCCCCGCTGAACGTATGAAACACTGACAAATTAAAAAAAACAAACTGGGTTTACAATTTACCGTTATTTACATAGTTACAGTGGTTTTTAAAGCACCGCCAAGTGGAAGCTCCACAACTGTCGCTCAGTTCGATACAAACTGAAAAAACTAAAGCAAAAAATAAAATAAAACTAAAACACTCGTCGGCTCAACTTTAAACCTGAACAACCTGAAGGTCTCGGCTCAAACCTGAATCTCAAACTGGTCCAACAGGAAACTCCTGCAGGTTAAACCGCCACGCCACAAAGTCAACACTGTGCAATGGATTCAGCGCGTTACGAAATGAACAAGAAGTCTTTTTTCTTTTTTAAAAACGTTTCGACTTGTTCAGTTCGTAACACGCGGCTCGTTTTAATTTCTCTCTTCGACGTTTTTTCTCTTTTTTTTTGATTGTTTTTGTTTCGTCGCCGTTCCTGTGCAACTCTTTAAAGTGTGGAAGAGGTTAACAGTGATCTTTAATACTCGTGTGTTTCTGCTCCATTAAAAACGTTTCCTCTCTTTCTTTCCTCGTGTGAAACGATTCGAGTCCCCGCACGCAGAAACAAAGGAGATCTTTAAATTTACACTTTTAAAACCGGGTTTTCTTTTTTAAACGATCGATTTACTTTCTTCCGGCTCTATGAAGCCTCGAAAAATAAAAACCCTCCTCTCTCTCTCTTTCTCTCTAATGGTTCTATTGTGTTCTCTGTAGCCCTGTTTGTTTGTTTGTTTGTTTGTTTGTTTGTTGTACAGACGCAGACCGTCGCTCGCAGAGAGGAGGACTCACGAGTAGGAGAGGTGAGAGCCGTTAGAAATGTGAGAAGTGACCGACGTGCTCCGGCTGAGCCCTCCGTCGCTCCCACCGCCCGGCCCCCCGGAGGCCGTCCTCCTCAGGGGCTGGGGGCTGTTCCTGAGCGCCATCAGACTGGGGCCCCGGACGCTCAGGCCCCCGCCTCCGTAGCCCCCCTGTGACGATGAGGAAGAAGAGGCGGAGGACGGAGGGGAGGAGGAGGAGAGGGAGATGGGCGGAGGCGGCGGTGGGGGAGGCAGGAGAGCCAGGGACTGGGAGGAGGCGTGGGTGGAGAGGTGGTGGTGGTGGGTGGTGGTGGTGGTGGTGGTGGTGGTGGTGGTGGGCGGGTTCAGGTGATGGGTTTGCTGCGGTCTGTGGTCTCGGCCTTCTTCAGTTTGCCCTTACTGAAGGTCTGAATGGAGCTCAGCAAGGCGGAGCGACCTCCTCCCGCTCCGTCAGAGGAGGACAGAGGAGGAGGGGGAGGAGGACAGGAGGAAGAGGAGGAGTCCGGCATCGGAGGGGGAGGAGGAGGTGGAGGTGGAGGAGGGGGCGGAGCAGTCCGGGCTCCTGGATGAAAGAGAGAAGAGGGAAGGAGTGTGAGAGAACAACACCAACAGTTTCCTGTAAGACTCACTTTCCCCAGCTGGTTGCACAAAGATACGTTGAACTGATCGTAGTTTTTAAACTGAGCTAATGAGAGTTAATGAACTTAAAGAACTTAAAGAAACTCTAATGTTACTTTCACTTCCTAAGTCCCGCCACTTTTTTTGGAACGTTTGATTAACTTTTCCCTCCCTTTCCTGTACTTAGATATACTCTGTGCTTGTCTATGTTAAAAAACACATTTTTAAGATGGTTAAAAAGTTAAAAAGTAACATATAGTCACATCTTAAGTGAGCTAATGTTAGCAAAATGATAGTTTTCTAGCTATCTAATTAGCTAACTAATGATTGACGTAGATTAGAAAGCTGAGTGAGGTTCTGGCTTAGGAAGGTAAATTTAAAACACTTGCAGACGTCTGAATCCTGTTTTTGCCTCTTTTCTTCACACAACAACAACAAATAGAAGCTGAAGATTAAACAAGGAGGAGAAACAATCTTAAACTACACAAATTATAAACCTGTTCACTGTCAGTAAGTTTAACAGATTATTTCAATGGTAGAAACTAGTTTTGTACTACTTTCTAATAAGGTGCACTTTATAAAGGGTTTTAACTAATGGCTTGATTAATTGATAGTTAATAGATGGTGATGCTTTATAGATCAGTTATAAGCCAATAATAACAGCCAATTCTGGGTTGCCAGGTTGTTAAAAATACCTAATTTATAGTCAAGTCATCAACTAAGTCATTAAAGGTCATTTGTTTCTCCTTCTAATGCAGTGATGCAGTGGAGGTTATTCTGGAGGATGACAAATGCCTATATTTGTTTTATTTTGGCAAATTGGTACCATTAAAAGTATTTAAATCAATCAAATCAGCAAATTAATACTGGAGAGAACCTAAAAAGATGATGATTCTCAGGTATGTAAAGTTATAAGTAATGTCTTTTTTCTATCACTTTATGGACGTTTATACGCGACAGACATCTGAGATTATAATGTAATAATAATAATAATAATAATAATAATAATAATAATAGGAAGTTTGAGTCACACTCACAGTTTTGAAACCTCTGTCATAATTAATGGCTTATATCCGATTTATAAAGCATTAGTAAATCATTTATTAACTAATACTAAAGCTATTAGTTACAACCTATGAATCCTTTATAAAGGCTGACTTTATACAAAGTGGTCCCACTGTGGAGTAACAGAGACGCTATTTCTGGAAGGAGTTTATCTTTGTGAAACCAGCACTCGTGTCCAAGCTGAACTCAAACCACCATCAGTTTCAACCCAACTTTCAGTTTGGGTACAGTTATTGATTACACATGTCGGTCAGTACCAAAAAAAAGGGGCTGAAGTTCGACATTCAGCCTTATTTAAGAATATTGAGTCTAAAGTGGTTCCTGAAGTTAATAAATCTGAATTTGATTATGTTAAAGTGTTGCAATAAAGTCATCAGTTAGAAATGTTTCTTCTGTTTTTGTGTTTCTGTGTAATAGCTCTAAAAACTACATTACCCATGAGCCTCGCTAGCTGTTGCCATGGAGAAGGAATAAAATCAGAGTTCAAACATGAATTTATCAAACAAGTTCCACAAACTTCAACTTTCACCTTACAGCAACCGAGTCTGAAGCTTTCTTACAGCAATGCCTTCTGGGACTTGTAGTTGGTTCCCTCTTAAAAAGGCTTTACAGCTCTGTTGTCCTGAAATAAATGAGTTACTATTTCTGTGTTTTCCAGACAGTCCATCTGTACTTGCTTCGTCAGTAGAGTGAACTGATGGTGAATTGAACCTAAACCTGGCACATCTCTTTCAGTTCGGCCATTTTGCATCCCCGAACTGAACTGAACAGCACCCAGTGAATACAGGCAGAGAAACTACATGTTGGTGGGGCTTCAACATGTGGTTAAAGCAGCGGCCAAAAGCTGCGACTGGAGTCCACAGACTCCACCTTCTGTCTGACTGCACAGCGACTTCTCTGCAACGTAATGAAAGGACATCCGTCTGTCTGACAGATGGTAACCAAACCTGGAGAAACTGGTCACTGCAGGGGACAATTAGCACGCTTAAAGATGATATTTTATGTGTTTGTTTGGCCGTGATCGATTTTTGAATAATTTAACAATAGCAGAACCACTAAAGCCTGCAGTGGTGACGGATTATCTCCAGGATGGCTGTGGAACAAACTGACTTGCATTACGTTTTGCTGCCACAGTGACCTTTAGTGCTTCGACTGTGACTCTTGATCAGATGTGTCAGATCATTTCACAATTACATGTGAAATCACAACGTCTGTAGCTGCATCTCTTTCATTAAAAACATATAATCTTCTCCTCCATTTTCAAATTCCTATTTGGGGGAAAATGTGGTAGCCAGTCTTGGGAAACCACCAAATAAGAAGAAATTTCTCAAATATTTGCCATTGCCAACTATAAAATAAGTCATGTAAGTGTAAACTAATAAAAAATAGTAATAGATTTGCATGAGTACAGGTTGTTTTTCGATTATTTAACACTGAATGGTGAATTATTCTGTGTATTATCTGACGAACTGTAAGTACAAATAAAGTTTGATTTACTGCTGAAATTGGTATGTTTTTTAATGACATTTTCTCTCTTTTCAAAGTGAGGTTGTGAGGATCGTTATCTTCTAATAAGGTCAGGATCTGTCTCCTAAATATCAGTGGAAATAAGAGTCTTTTCCTTGGTTACAAAAGTCGATGAAATGCTTTTACTCCTCGTCCTAAAAGAAGAACCAAAAATGCATTTCTGAGACTTTCCTGGCAGTTAGGGCTGATTTCCTAATCAGAGAAGGCTGATAAATAAACGCTCTCCAAAATTCTGTAAATTCTGAACAATTTGTAGTTTATGTGCTGGAAAATAAAAACCTGGCATCGTAAAGAAACCACAAAAAAAGTTTCTTCTCAGAGTATTATCTGAAAAACATGAAAACCCTTATAAAGGATTTATTGAAGGGGTTTGGTTTAACAGCTCTATGAGACTGGGATGAAAACATATGGGTACAAGAGAGACTGATATCCCACAGCGTAGAATAAAAATAATCAGTTCAATATGTTTCTAAACCAAAAACGAACGTTCAAAGATCTGACACGTCTTCACTGTGACACCCCTGTCCCAAACACACACACACAAGCAGACAAAACAAAGAAAACAGACACAGACATGCTGTAACCGACAGACGGAGCAGGCAGACAGAACTGACATATCACAATCTCCAATGAAAACAGCCGGTCTGAATCAGGGAGGAGTTGGACTGTCTGTGAGGTTTGGACATCATTGCAGATTGTGAGGTTTTTATAAAGATGTGCGTACACCCTGTTACGTCTTCACTCCAGAACTCATCAGGCCTCTTTAACACTGATTTCTACTCTCACTCTTTTAAAAAAGAAACCATCCTCAAGCAGTTTAGTCTAAGAAGGAATTTTGAGTATCTTACTTTAAGGTTGAGATGGTTGAGTGAGGAAGTAGAGCAGTGTCCCCTTTACATTGTTTGTCCACCAGAGAGCACTGATGAGTTTATTTCATCTCAGTGAAATGTCTTTCTCAGAGTGTATCTTCTAACACACAGATATGATACACAATGAAAAACAACAAAACAAACAAATCTAAGGGATCTGTATGATTGACGTTGTGTGTGTATGTATAAAACACATTGGCTGATAAAGTTTTTAAACTCCCTAATATCGATCAACAGCCACAACAAATCCAGTATTGGCACAGGTTGTATTTTGAATGTTTTCTGTCCAGATGACTGACAGCAAAATCTACTTCAATCAGAATCAACCACAGATTATATAATTAAAAGGTGGACGTAGTCTCTGTCACGTCACCAACAGGTTTCTGAAGAGCTGTTGTGTAGCTCAGTGAGGTCGTTTCCATCCTGGCAGTCCTCACTCCACCGGCTCCTGGCTAATCCAAAAAATGGCCAAAGACATGGAGCGTGGGTGGAGCTGAGGCGCGCTGAATGAAAGTGGCCACGCTCTTAATTATGCATAAATTTAAGCCTTGCTTGAGCATTTAAATACAGGGACTTATTGAGATTGACTCACTTCTGTAGCCGGCAGTTCCTCAAAGTGGCTGTTTGAGGAACTGCAGTGTTTGTTACTTGCTGTACTGGATGCAAATACACTTGTGCTCCGTCTATTTTTTAAATTTAATTTATATTTTAAGTATGTTTTCATTATGTGAGATCATTTGCATGAGGCAGATGTCTGTGAGCAGAGGTTCGTAGGGGAGCCAGGGTGTACGACAGCTTTAAAAACCACCAGAGACCTTCATCATCATCATCATCAGCATCAGCATCGACATCGACATTATAAATCGACATTTTACTTTACCCAACAACACGGTCAGAATGGAGCATGCTCTATGGTGGAGACAGCACAGGAAGAAGAGAGAGAGGGAGATGACAGTTATCTGTTCATTGGACCGATCAGCATTTACACAGTATCACCAGGACAGAGAGGAGAGGAAGAGGAAGCGGAAGAGGAGGAGAGAGGAGAGGAGAGGAAAGGAGAGGAAGAGGAAGAGAGAGGAAAGGAGACACTACTGTCAGGCTAGGAAACTGATGCCAAATTCGTGTCAGCATGTTAAAAACTTCTGGTGATATTCTGTAATATTCTTATCGTCAATATATGAATCCTATGAAAAAGACCAAAATCAGCTCAGAGTTGATGTGTAAACTAATAAAAACACTGAGCAGCGCACACACCTACAGTGTGTATTAATACGCCAATGAAAATAGTTTCCTAAAAATACATTATTGTTTATTATTGCTATTTGAAATGTTTCCATCTTCAGTAGAAAACAATAAGCTTTAGGCTGAGAGACACAGACGAAGGAGGGAAGACAGACGAACTAACACATTGTTGGTTTTGGTCTTTTCATTGGATTTGTTCTCAATATGAAAACTATGAATATCGTCAGACTTTTACTTTATAAATATATTAACACTATTATATTATATTATAATACTATAATTAATTATATTAAACATCAGTGTTTCCCATCCTGCGTCCAGCTAGCTAGAGACAATGAGAATAAGACACACTGCTATATCAGAGAGAGAGAGAGAGAGAGAGAGATACCTGTCTGACAACCAGGTAATCGCATGACGAGAGAAGAGGTGAAGAGAGAGACAGACAGACAGACGGAGACAGACAGACAGTTCAAGTCAAACGATTAGTCTTCGTGATCACACGTGCAAATTTCAGATAAAAAATTGAGGCCAGAAACTCAGCGGTAACGGTGAAGATGCTGTTATTGATCTGAGCAGCGTGCCGAGACAGACCACAGCCTCAGCAGGTTCTCGCCACAAGGGGGAGCTACACAGTCTGTCCGATACTTTCCCAAACAGAGACAGACAGACAGACAGACAGACAGACAGACAGACAGACAGGCGTACCTGTAGTGGATGGAGGGGTGGGGGAGGAGGGGCATGTGGGAGGAGAACTGGCTCCAGAACCTGAAGTCAGACAGAAAAACAGACAAATTAATCAGCCTCAGTAAATAAATAAATAAAAAGAAAACGTTGACTCACAGCTGAAAAACACCTCAATAAATATTTGAAGAGCCGACACGTCATACTGTGCCGTCGCAGTAAAGCAGAAACAGTCCTGCTCCTGATTTCACTGATCTACAGTCTGCGACAGTTACGTGGTAAGAAATGTAGTGAAGAAGAAGAATACTGGATGTAAACAATGTAGGGGTCACTTTCCTCCAAAATTCAGCTTTGCAAAATGTTTTATGAGAAAGGAAATTAACTCACCACATGTATTAAGCCTCAAAGATACACACAATGTGTTTGCACTGAATTCAAACAGAGACTTTGTCTCTCCAGAAAAACTCCACAGGGTTCCTTTAATCTCCTGACAAAGCTTCAATGTGACAGACGGACAGTAGATCCACAATCAGGTCTGAACACATTGTGCAGACAGAAAACTCCGGCTTACCTAATGACAAACTAACTAAGACTGTAACTGCCCGGTTAACTAACCATGTAACTGACCACCTAAGTGTCTAACTACCTAATATCCTAAGAAACTAACTAGCTACACACTACCTACCTGGTTAATAAACTAAATAAATACAACAACACTAACTACTGAGCTAACCAATACAATATCTACTAACAAGCCAATTAATTAGTGTTAGCTAGTTTGTAAGGACAAAATTATTTTATTTTATTTTATTGCTTTTATTTTTTACTGTGTACCTCATCTTTTTATTGCTGTGCTTCTA